TTCTCTTCTCTTCTCTTCTCTTCTCTTCTCTTCTCTTCTCTTCTCTTCTCTTCTCTTCTCTTTTTTCTTTTTTTCTGTGGAAGTAGGTGGTTGAAGGGTTGAAGACACATCATTTCACTTCTGCTGTTTCTCTGCCATGACTTACACAGGGAAGAAATTAACTCCTAGCAACTGAAGGCTGACCATGTCAGATCCACCAACCTTCACAAGTGTTTCATTTCATCATCCAAAATAATGCCAATGTTCATGGAAAGCCAAGAATTTGACAGAGGAGCATACCAGTCTTCAGAAAATGTGGTTCTCCAATTAGGAAGGCCAATAACCATCAGGCCTTAAATGTACCAATAGGGAGATACAGAATGGAAAGACAGAGCAAAAACAACACAAAACAAAAAACAACACCAAAAACATATGTACAGCTGCAATCACCAGTATGATTGCCCATTTACCACTTCCATAGGGTACCGGGTAAAAAAAATAAATATCTCCCCAATTTTCTGAAATGACTCAAAGGAATGGGAAAAGTGAATGCAAGTTTTGTATTTCCACAAACATTTGTGATGACTTCTGAATATGTTTGCTTAGTGTTAGTTTGATGACAGCCTGATCTTGAAAGAGAACATGTAAGACTCTGTGATGAGTCTATCAAATCCATAATGAGGAAAAGCTTATGAAAAGCATAATGTCTAGCTCTTGCATATATACAGTTTGGCTGCAAAGCAGTCATGTCCTGATCACCCTTGTGTTGTTGGGATTACATGAATAATAGAATGTTTCCCTCACTTGGCTGATTAGCCTTCAGCAGATACTCTCTGCAAATATTAGATTATCAGAGCGGAGATTTTTCAATGTAGTTGGTACTAGTTGAACATCCTGTACCTAAGTGTCTTGAAAGAGTTTTTTTGGAGCATTTCCAGGATGTCATATATTCTCTTAGCAGAGACTGTTCAGATCTGTCCTGTCCTGTTAGCACACAGCAAAACATCATCATTCCACCAATAGCACAGCTTACATATGCTTTTTGCATCTCCTCTAAACGATAAATTCTACAATGGTCAAACGGCACCTTACCGTACCACACAAATGTTAAATTAATTCCTTCTTTACTATCTCCTGTAAATGTTTATCTGGACAAAATATGACATAATGACTGACATTAGCAGGATTGGGAAGAGGAAAACATCTTAGGACATAGGACTTATGACTCTGACAGATATGTGGCTGCAAATATTTTGCAGAGGGCTAAGATTGTGCTGCTCTACTTGCCTGCTCTGCTGCACTGCTCAGGGTCAGCATCCTTGGGATCAACAGCAGGACAAAACAGTATGTGGCACTGCCATAGCTCTAACTGAGAATCAAATGTGTGGCATAGCAGAACCAGCTCATGGAGTAGCTACATTGGTGACAAGATCCTGGATTGTGGAGGCACGCAATGCCTGATCTGTTTTCCTGACTTTCACACACAGAAAAGCGTCTGATGTGGGCAGCAACACAGAGCCATCTCCAGCCACAATCACTGTATATCTGCTGTTCCTTGGGAACATACTAGCTTTGAATTAAAATACAGTCAGTGTGATTTCTTGTGTGTTAAGAAGGACTGAGATATCTGAGGAGAAGAGTTAAAAGGGGTCAGTTGTCTCCAATATTGTTAGTAGCTTTTGCACTACACCTCCCATAGACCTATTTCAAGGTCTTCTCCCTTCAACTTCTCGTATTAGGCGTCTAATTAACTGGTGCTGGTTGGGATCATAATTT